AAAAATACAAAGGAACTATGCGAAACTAAATGGACTTTGTAATTAATCACAAAGTCTCAAAAACTAATCGTAAGTTGTTAAAATGTTATTTTTTTTCGAATACTACGATGTCGTCTATGTAAACATGTAAACGTTTACCTATGTGTTTTCCCAATATGTCATTCAAATTCCTTTAAAAAACCACGGGACGATGCGTAGCCCGAAGGGGAGTCTAAGAAATTCGAATTTGCCATTATTGATAGAAAGGGCTATCTTTTCAATATCTGAATCTTCAAGCGCGATTTGGTGGAATCTGCTTTTGAGGTCTATTGTGGAGAAAGAGTTATTTTCGCCGAGATTTGATAGAATACTGTTTATTAATGGCATTGGATATCTGTCAGGGATGGTAATTGCGTTTAGTTTTCTGTACTCGATTACCATGCGGTGTTTTTTCTTCCCCGACGCGTCTCCTTTTTTTGTCACGATGAACACCGGGGAACTATATGGGGAACGCGACGATCGAATAATGCCGTCGGCTAATAATTCTTTTATTTCTGTCTATTTATTTCCTCTTTTAATGCCACAGGGTAGGTGTACGCTTTGGAATAGACAGGTCTATCGTTTTTAGTTTCTGTGTTCTGTCCGGTTCGTCGAAAAGACCTGGACATTCTTTCACTATTGAATCTATTATTTGGCAAGTTTGGTCGTCTAAATGAGAAAGTCTAAGTTCTATGCTAGCCATTAGTCCCATTGGAAGTTCCTAAGTTCTGTATTTAACTTTTTCTAACAGCGTGAAAAGTTATCATGTCTATTTATTGTGGTCTTTAAATTTTTCAATGTGTCGTGCCCTATGATCCAGTCAAAGGTACCTAGTTCCGATAAATGGATAAATTGGATTTTTCCTATCACATTAACGAAAATATCTCTATTTGTATAATGCGTGATATTCTTGTCTCTTATGGACTTTGCTGCAAAGCATACTTCATTCGGTATGGCTGCTCGAATGACTGAGGGTTATACATAATTTTTGTTGGAGCCTGTATCTATTAAAAATTTTATTTTTTTATTGTTCCCCGTTTTAAACTCTAAGAAAGGTAATGAGGATGAACCTCGTCAAAAAATTTGACATCATCGGCTATTTCATACTCGTACTCTTTTATTTCTTGATTATCCATAATAGCATACTCTTACTCGTTATAATCTTGTTCTTTTTCATAAGCCTGTTCGTCTTCTATGATAACTTCTGTATTGTAAACTCTTTGTTGTTTGTTAGTGACCTGGTGTGTGACCTGAGAAAGAGGTCGTTTCATTTGCTGAGCAGCCTGATTATTTTGTCTAGTTTGCAGAGCTGCTTATCTCTAACTTTGTTGGGTGGTGTTTGGACACTGAGCTGCTATTTGGGGTCTATTTTGGTAGTTAACTTGACGCGTTTGTAAGGAAGTATTTATCTCCATTGGAGTTGGTGGAAGTTCACGCCTTGGCGGTAATGAGGGAGGAAATTGTTGTTGCTGTTGTACAAATCTAGGCTGACTCTGTTTAAAATGTGCTAATTCTGGGAAAAAGTTTTGGTTACGTATTGGTCTTTGAGGTATTTGGCTGCCTCCGTTGTTGTAGTATGTTGGCTGTGGACCACGTCTAACGTTATGCGACTAGGTGTGTTGCATAGTGTTAGCTTGATGCGCCCTATTTAGGTTGTCCAACTTAAGACAGATGTTTAAGGCTTCTGGTAAGCTTGTCGGTCTTTTAACGCTCAACAGACTATATCTATAAGAATTAGTCTTTGCAAGCAATGCTTCCTCCTTATAATCTAGACAATCGATAATCCTGGACATTAATGAGAGAATCTCATAAATTTTCTGATAGAAGGAGCTTATGGTATCCCTGCTTGAACTAACTTGTTTAATTGGTATTGTAAGGTACCAATATCTCGTTTGTCCGCGTACTGTTGCATGTGGCAACATTTAATTTTTTCCAATTGATAGGCGTACGATATAAATGATGACGATGACTTACGTTAAAGCTACAACTATCCTAGAATCCATGTAGGAGTTGGCGGATGTCTTCTTATAGATGGAGTTGATCTTATTATGTTTATTTTCAATTTGTTTGCCTGTCTTCTTCTAGGCTTTTTATTAGTAGATTTTGTTTGTTGCTTCTCTCGGATGGTTAAAACCTTTAAAACCATTTTTGATTCGATTTTTTTTTTCTTTTTTAGTTATTTATGAGTACCTTGTGTTTCACCATTATATATATGTCTATATATATTGTATAATATTTTATTTGATTAGCTATCACTTTTATTTTAATATTAAGTATGTGAATTTTCTTGTTGTAATCCCCGGATCGATGTGTTTTCTTTTCTTTTTTTTTTTGTACTATGTGAACTTTCTTTGTGGTCACTCTTTTATTCACTATGGGAATTTTATGTAATTTCACTATGTGAACTTTCATGCGTCACTCTTTTATTGCCTATGTGATAGTTTTTTTGAAATCACTACGTGATTATTAGTGTTTCTTCACTATGTGAATATCTATCGATGTGTACAGGTGTGGCTAGGACTAGCATGTCCTTTCTTTTTGCACAACACTTAAGCTGGTAGCCTACTAAGGGGCCAAACACTTGAAATTATTTTGACTTGCGAAAAACTTGTTTAATAAACTTTAGCCTTTACTGGCTTTATATGAACGAACTTCTTATGGCCATTTAATGGTTTTTTAAATTTTTTTTTCATCTTTCGGGGGTCCTGCAATTAACCAGTTTAATGGTAGTTATTTATAAAAAGTGTATTTTTTGTTTTTGACAGCACTATGTGCTTACAATGAGTCCAAGTTGTAAACTAAATATTGTATCTTAATTAATCTCTAATGAAACCTCAGTCCAACGATGAAGCGTCGTTGTCGGCGCGGCGTCTCTAGCTGGTGTTGTTGCATATGTTGAAATGTCCCCATTCTGCATTTCGCAGGGCTACGCATATTTTGGGAATCAGCGAACCTTATTGGTTTGCTGATTCCACAATTATTGGCATGTGCGGTAAATATGCCGATATAGCGATCCCACTGCACCTAGAGTTGCATACGCGACACCTGGCTTTAGGTTTTCCCAGCACGTTGAATGGCCACGTGCGGGAACCAAATATAAGTAAGCTGGTTATCCAAGTGTTGTTGTTTTGAATGTCTTAGCTATTAACATACTTAAACAAAAACAGATTTCGTGGTATTTAATACAGTTTGTAACCTATATATAACGATCGACCAAGTCAGTTGGGTAGGTCCCTTTCAGACACCTTCTGCTTCGTTGGGTAGCTCGCTGCTTGCCTGTTAGCTACGTCGCCCACCATCGGTACCCTGAGGTCCTTTGCGATGTCGCGTGTGCGGGTATATCATTTGGCTCCATTTATTTTGCGCAAGATTTTGGCCTGAATGATGCGAATTTTGTTCAGATGTGTTTTCGCAGCTATACCATAGACTTGGAGCCCATGAGGACCTTGTTTCGGAGCGAGAGTTTGTTGTTGGAGTTGAAAAGCCAGCTCATTCGCCTTATTTTGGACATGATGTTGCCTGGTACTGCAGAGACTTGCATAGCATATGCAGTGGGCATGTCATGTGTAAACAGGCTGTATAAAGTGGGACCCAAAACGCTGCCTTGCGGAACGCCCGCTTCTATGCGTTTGGTTTGAGAGGCTACGCCATCCTGCACCACATCTCTCAGTTAGGAAGCTGCGGATTTAGGTGTTCCTCGATTTTGGAGAGAAAACCTGCGGGCCACACCCGGTTGAAAGCTTGCTGGATATTGAGATTACTACCACATACTCTTTTCTGTGGAAACTGTCTAGTATGAAGTTAACTACCCAATGGAGTTGTTCAGGTGTACCGTGCCTGAATCGGGATTGCATGTCTTATCACCGTACTTTCCAGGACCCTTCTAAGGATACATCTCCCAAAGACAGGCAGGAGGCTGATGGGGGAATATGATTCCAGCTGGTTGGAAGGCTTTCCGCTTTTGTACGGCATAACCACTTGCGCCTTTTTCCAGACCGCTGGAAAGTGACCTAGTCGAAGAGCTGCATTAAAAATGTAGACATGAAAAATCATCGCTTAGCAGTGTAGTAGCTTAATTGACCGGTTATCAAAGCAGAGTTCGCCGGGAGCTTTGCGGTTTTTAAGACTCTTGATGTCCTGCTTCTCTTCGTGTACTGTGATTGGTGCCACAGGGAGGGACATGCTGGCGAAGGCTTCTAGAATGACATATATCACAAACATATTTTATTTTATAACTATTACCATCTCCGAGCTACCACCACACACGTATAAACCAAGTTGTATTTCCCACAAATATAAAACTTAATTTTGATGTAATTGAGTTTTTAGCAGACCTAGATATAGTACATGAAGATCGGTTATGAAACACAGAAACACACAAAACTTGTGCTTATATATGTATTGGTCGCCGACGTGTCAGCGGCCGCTAGCACAAGGCACATGAATTGTTTTTTTTTCAGAAGTGATTAGTTGTTACTTTGGCTGTTGAGTAGAGGCGGCGGAAAGTAATGATGTCTTTTCGAGTCCTATCAAGGAAACAATTTTCTATTTTTTTAAATTTATTTTTATTTCTAACGAGCGCGTACCGTTAGCTGCATTTAGTGTTGGTAGAAGAGGGGTATCCCTTAGTCGGAAGCTCCCGACTAGAGCCTCTAACTTTTTCTCTATGATTTTCCGAATTTTAATTAGAACACATATTAAAAAAAACCAAAAGCTTTTAACTTAATTAATGGTGACCGGATTGAGGTTATTATTGGTCATATCGACCAAAGAAAACGAGGTACAAACATCAAGGGTAAGAAGGCATGCATATTTGAATACCCTCCCTCCTATGAAAGACTTTGCTACTGACTCTAGAGTTGCAATTCATTCTTCCCAGCCCGAACGTTTATAGATTATGGATTAAACTTTGGTTTTACTCGCATGATTATTCTCACAAAATATTTTAATTTAAGTCCTTTTTAAAAATATTTATATTCTAGGCTTTTAATGACTTGTTTGAAGAGCAAGGCTGGGCTTTTGAAGTGATTTCCGGGCATATTGGATGTTTAACAGCAATGGTACCGTGGAATGCTCTTATGACAAACGATAGCTCCCTTAATATTTCAAACCTGACCATAACTTTGAGACCAGTCACGCGTTGTCAAAGTGGAACAACTATGTTAGAATCTATGTGGTCTTCCGTTAGTAGTTCAATGCAAATGGCGGAAGAATGCATGAAGCAAATTGATGATGACGTACCATTTTTAAACCACAACAATACCTTGATTGGCTTAGAAAAATTTGCGGAGACCATTGATAACGGTGAGTAATAGTTCATCTCAATATCTTAAGGTTGTTTAAGCGCTGCATATACTCAATTTTCAATTCATGCCAATATGGAACTATTATTGGAATGAATTCATTTATTGAAAATCAACATTCACTGCTACATTTTTACCTCAATTTATTTCCCTTGGCTAAAATCAGCTTACTCCGCAAGGAATCTACACAGCGCCGAACCATTGTGCTGCAGGGCTCATGGCTTGGTATGGACCAAGTATTGGAAACTTTAGAAGTAAAAGTATTCTAGTCGGGAGTCGCTGACTAGAAGAAACACCGAAACCTTAACCGCTTAGCTGCCATTACAACCATTCCAGTTTCTATCTTTAAATATGCAAATACATGCATGCACGCATTGAGGCTGTGCCTCAATTTTTCAAACGTATAGGCGTTAATTGGTCAATCGTGTGAAATTTTAAGAGAATAAATTTACCACTTAAATGTGCACAGCTCGTCATCCTGTTCAAGAATAAACATTTTAAATGGGGTCGCATACTATGGTTTGCCTATAATCGCAAAACCATTATACCCGTTTTACCCATTTAAATTGGTTTAGAGTATAACAACCGCTATCCTTCGGATATGAGTTAAGGAAAATTTATCTATGTCAATGTCTTTAGCAATGAGTCTTTATCTTGGCGGCAACCAGCTAGTACCAATATAAAAATGCCAATATAAAATCGGTCCATAAATAGGTTGAGGCTTTGATACGATGGTAGGGCGATCGACCATGCTAAATTTAGTAGGTTTTCATTACTCGGAATATCAAATCTGCAACTCCGTTGGTAACACTGTTGGCAACCATCCAACGCCATGTCACCGGTTTTAGTTTTCAAGGCGCAAATTTTGATATAGCCAGTAGAGGGTCTTCGCTAGATATCAAGTCACTCCGACCCCATAGAGTATCTATATCCTTGATTAGAATCAGTAGCTGAGTCGATCTGTTTGTCCGTCCGCCTGTCCGTATGTATGATCGCAAGGATCTCAGAACCTATAAGACCTAGAGACTTGAACTGTAGATCCTCATAGTGCTCGCGGACAGCGAATTTGTTTTCGATAATCGACAACTCGCCCAGTTTTTAAGTAATCGATACAAATTAATATCGAAATAAAGCTTTTTATGCAAATTGGGTAAGTAAGCTCGCGGTAATTCTAGAATTTTATATATATATCATGTATCATTTATACCCGCACCACTACAGAGCTATATATCAAGTTAATAACCCAACTTGTATTGCCCGCCAATATAAGCCTTAAATTAAATGCAATTAACTTTTTTAAAATACACAAGGTGCTGGCACCGAGACTCGTGCCGGGGCGCGTATTCGGCAGGGACTTCTAGCGTCGAAAGATACAACTCGATTCAATTCGATTCGTACGAGGCGGTACGATATAATATAATTCGAACGCTGAAATCTTTATTATTCTTTCATTATTTAACAACCTATATTTTACATGATTATGAGACTTACATTCGTGCTCCGCACGCGCTTCTGTTCTCTTTCACTTCTGCTCAGCTGCAAGCACAAAACGAAAATGAACCTCGACAAAAATGCAGCTTGTGCAGCTGCGTGCGATCGACTTATCATGTAAAAACTAATTCTAACGGTGCGCTTCCAGAGTAAGCAGCGAGGGCTGCTTACAAAAAAAATGCGAGACCCAGTAGGACTTAGTCAACAGCTATTTTCACTTCGCCCCGTAACACAAGGTCTCTATGGTACAATAAAATATACTGGAGAAAATTTCATTAAGTTCGGTTAAGAAACAGGCAAAAGTTATGTGTTTTGATTTCACGTGTTTGCCGTAGCGACCGTTAATTTAAAGAATTTCTGTACACATGTACACACATACATTCATACTCGTCTGTTTCGAATTCTTTCAACAGCATTGCAATTGCGATTGTTTTTCTTAATAGAACTCATTTATAGGTGTGGATAGAGTTCGAGCCCTACTGGAGAAACTAATTTTTTTGGCTGGTGTGTTCTGCTGAGTAGAATCGGCAGCAAGTTATGCGAGCAGTTCGAGCTTCTCCAATAAAACACTTCTTTAATTTATACTGATTTCTTCAAACGAGTACGTAGCTTGTTAGCTTATGGTGTTGGAATAAGTAGAGAATAAGTCTAGAACCTAGACTAGAACATGTTTTTTGCAAGTAGTAGTAGTAGGAGTCGATATAGGAGAGAGAATACTAGGTTGTTTTTTGTAAATTTGTTTTTATTACTGCTAAAACAAACGAGGTCGTAGCGCCAGATGCATTTCGTAATGGAAGAAAATGGTTGGTTACTTCTTTAAAATATTTGTATTTTTAATTCAGTGGAGGAAAACTTAAGACTTATGTTTCTAACTTCAACATATTGTTTCGGGAGCTGGTTATTCTCCTTGACAAAAAAAAAAAGGTTGAGAAGTCCGATGCCCAAAACCTCCATAAAAAAAAGTGCTGCTAATTAAACCGAGATAGTTAGTCCTAAATGGGGCCGTTCCAACAACAGTGAATAGCTCACATATGATTCTGTAAATTGATGCACAAGTAAATAATATAATAGAGTATGTAAACAATAGGCAGTTGGGTCGGAATAAGTTAATATTAAGGTGGATGGCCGATCGGCTAAGTAAAATCGTATATTGATTTATTTTCGGGCAGGTTGACTCGATGCTGTCGCAGGGGCCAGAAATGCAGCGTAAGCGCCTTATGCAGGTGTCCTAATTTTCGATGGGTGCTGCTTGTGTCACCGACCACTGAAAACGTTGCTTCATAGCTAAAACCTAAGTTATTTTAAATAAAACCAATTAGGTATTCTACTTTCCAACATTTGATTCCCGCACGTGGCCAGTCAACGTGCCTGGTAAAGCTGTCACAAAGTGTTTCGCATGCCACTTTAGGTGCATACGTGGTCAACTAACTCGTTGGGCAGCCATCCGTGGGATCGCATATTTGGCATTATTGCATTATTGTGAAATCGGCGGAGCCAATAAAGTTCGTTGGTTCCCCTGCGAAATGCGGAATTGGTGAATTTCCTCAGCCACAATAACACCAAACTGGCGACGCCAACAGCAACGTTTCTTCGTTGGACTGAGGTTTCATTGGGTATTAACTGAGACGCAAAATTTAGTTTGTAATAATAACTAATTGTAACCACATCGTGCTGCTAATAAATAAATAAAAGTTTTTTGTAACTTATAACCAAATTGGTTAATTTGCGAGTGAGTAGGCATCGGCGAAACTACTATAAAACAAAAGGACTATAAAATGTCCATTCGTGTAATGTCTAAAGGCTAAAGTTTTCAAAGTTTTCCTGAGTTTAACGTAATACAGGCGATTGGCCCCTTAGTAGGCTACAAGTGCAAATGTAGTGCAACAAGAAGGCGTCCTAGTCCTAATCACACTATGTACCATAATATAAAAAAATTCACATAGTGAAGAAAAACGCAACTAACCACACAGTGAATAATAAAATATTTATTCAAGACTGACCACAAATAAAAAACAAGTAAGAGGTTCTAGTCGGGAGCTCCCGACTAAGGAATCCTCTTATTCCAACACCAAATAAATTTAAAACGAGAAAGAAGGGCTATCTTCGGCACGCCAAAGATCTAATACCCAGACCCAACCTTTTCATAATGCTCATAGTATTTTGCCCCTATCTAAGAAGTACCGGGAAAATAGTATATGCCGAGTTTGGTCAAGATATCTTGAAAAACAAAATGTTTTTCATACAAAAACTTAATTTTCGACCGATCGTTCCTATGGCAGCTATATGATATAGTGGTCCGATCTTAATAAGATTTTGCATATATATGAAGAGTAAAGTAAAACTAATAAATGCCGAGTTTGGTCAATATATTTTGAAAAACAAAATGTTTTTTCATCCAAAAACTTAATTTTCGACCGATCATTCCAATGGCAGCTATATGATATATTGGTCCGATATTAATAGTATTTTGCACATATATGAAGAGAAAAGTAAAACTAATAAATGCCGAGTTTGGTCAAGATATCTTGAAAAACAAAATGTTTTTTCATACAAAAACTTAATTTTCGACCGATCGATCCTATGGCAGCTATATGATATAGTAGTCCGATCTTAATAGGATTTTGCATATATATGAGGAGTAAAGTAAAACTAATAAGTGCCGAGTTTGGTCAAGATATCTTGAAAAACAAAATGTTTTTCATACAAAAACTTAATTTTCGACCGATCGTTCCTATGGCAGCTATATGATATAGTGGTCCGATCTTAATAGGATTTTGCATATATATGAAGAGTAAAGTAAAACTAATATATGCCGAGTTTGGTCAAGATATCTTGATAAACAAAATGTTTTTTCATACAAAAACTTAATTTTCGACCGATCGTTCCTATGGCAGCTATATGATATAGTGGTACGATCTTAAAAGGATTTTGCATATAAATGAGGAGTTAAGTAAAACTAATAAATGACGAGTTTGGTCAAGATATCTTGATAAACAAAATGTTTTTTCATACAATAACTTAATTTTCGACCGATCGTTCCTATGGCAGCTATATGATATAGTGGTCCGATCCAGCTGGTTTTCACATATGTGCTGCGTGCAACAGAAAGAGGGAGTTCTGCAAAGTTTCATTAAGATAGCTTTAAAACTGAGGGACTAGTTCGCATAGAAACAGACAGACGGACAGACGGACATGGCTATATCGACTCGGCTGTTGATGCTGATTAAGAATATATATACTTTATGGGGTCGGAGATGTCTCCTTCTATGCGTTACACACTTCACGACAAAATTATAATACCCTCTGCAAGGGTATAAAAAGGTTGCCTTGGCAGGGTTCGAACTCGCAACTGACCCTGACAGCATCACTTGCTGTGAACTCTACTCAACAGCTATACCAGCAATAAAACAAAAAAAAAAAATACTACACCGGTAGGACTTAAACCCGCGACAGACCGCACCACTTGCTATGCCTCTACTCAGCAGCCACACCAATAATTAGGTACTTTTT